GGGCGCCCCAATCCCGTCCGCCCCGCCCCCTCCGCCGCGCTCACTTCCGGCCTCTCTCACCCCCCTCCCCCACGCCGAGGTGTTATATGACCTCGTCTACGTCACCACCGGGCATGCGTCATTTCCGCCCGCAGATCGTGCGGGAGATGTGGTCTCACGTAATGCGAAGCCCTTCCTTCTCCTCCCCGCACGGCGCTGCAGGGGGCGGGGTCTTTGTTCTGCCCGCCTCTTCCGTGGGTTAGTGTTGCTGCCTCCCCTTCTTTTTCCGACAGCCCGGCTCTGCCTAGCGGACAGCGAGTAGGAGCTGTGTTCGCTCTGGTGGGTGCTGCGGAGGCCACATCTGGAGTACAGCTTTGGGGAGGGGTGTGTCCCCCTCCGCTACAGAAAGGATGTGGACAAATTGGAGAAAATCCAGTGGAGAGCAAGGAAAATGGTTCGGGGGCTGGGGCATATGGCTTGTGAGGAGAGGCTGAGGGAACTGGGCTGATTTAGTCTGCAGAAGAGCCTACATTTTCCCTGCTGCAGCCTGAGACGGTCACTCTTAGTCCTGCCCCCTAGAGCCACAGAGAAAAGCCCATCTCCAGCCTCTTTATAATCATCAGTGATCCTGGTTTTCTCTGTTAAGAAATTGCAAATTCTGATTCAAAATCACAAACTCTCTGATAAGCCCCCACAAATCCACAATTATATATAGGTATCAATTGAACACAATGTTTTCTTGATATATTTAAAATTTTAAGGCAAATTTGGAAGCCTACCAGTGCCTCAGTCACTGTAATAAAATAAATCCTCAATCATTTCTATGTACCTATACATTTTGATGTTTGATTTTGGGTTTTTATTGAAAATCAGAGCTTCTCCTGCCCCCTTTACTCACCAGGATGCAGGTCCATGACCACCACTCCCAAGCCACAGCCCGCCAGCCCTGCCAGTGCCCCTCATTCCCTATCCACAGCCCCTTGCCCTCTCCAGCCCTGCCAGAGGGGGCCCCAGCTGCCAGGACTACAGGACCAGGGACCAGGGTCCACAGCCCAATGCCCCCCACAGCAGTGCTCAAGCTCCAGCTGCTGCACATGGGAGGTGGCAGCCCCTGTGGCAGAGCAAAGCATGGAGCACAGCTACCCTACAGGCAGCCTGGCTTGCTGGAGCAGAGCCTGGAGGGGGGAGAGGCGGGCTCACCCACTGTAGGCTCAGGTGGGAGGAGCCAGCTCCCACCACTGCACACTCACGGGGACACATGGGGGGCATGCGCCCCCAGATCTGCATGTGGGACAGGAGTGGGTTTGGGCTGCTTGCTGCGGGCTCGGGGCTCCCTGCCCTGCTTCCCTGTCCCCAGGGCCTCCATGGCCCAGCAGGCAGGAGCCCACACAGCAGGGCAGAGCGGGGCCAAGTGGGGAAGCTCCTTGCCACTGTGAGCCCTGCACTGCCTTGGTGAGGCGCCCCCTGCCCACCCAGCAGCAACAAGGGGCACACAACCCTGTGCTGCTACACCTGCTGCTGCCAGGCTGGGGCCCTTCGGCAGGGCAGTGGAGGTCTTGCAGCAACAAAGAGCTTCCCTGCCCAGCCCCAATCTGTCCTACCATTCCGGGTCCTGCCCACTGGACTGTGAAGGCTCCAGGGGGAGGGTAGCAGGGTGGGGAGCCCGAGACTGCACTGGGCAGCCCACCCTTGCCCTATACACAAATCTGGGGGGTACATGTCCACCATCCTCCCTAGGGGTGCGCACAGCAGCAGGGAGCCAGCCTCACCCCCCTCACCCTCTGGATGAGCCACCTGCGGGCCGTGGCTCTGTCCCACTCCCCACTGGGGCCCTGAGGTCATGGGTTCCCAACCCGGGCCCAAGCACCACACAGGCTAGGCAGCAGCCCTATTCCTAGCCCTAGCTCTGCGCAACTCATTCCCTCCCTCCCATGGGGGCCTCAATCCCCACTCCCTCCTGCCAGACTTACCTGCAGGAGCTGCTCTCCAGGCTGCCTGGGGCCTTGTGCATGTATGTGCACATGGCATCCCCTGGCTGATGGCCCTCCTCCCACTCCCCCTAGGCCCCTGCAGGCTGGAACTCTACCGACCTGCAGAGAGCTCTTGGCAAAAGTGCAAAATCCATTTCTCTGTTAAAATGAAAAACCTGCATTTTTCTTGGGTAAAAGGGAAAACCCATGTTTTTCTCCATTTTTCTGTGGGAAAAAAACCAGACAACCTGGATCCCTGATAATCACCCTTCAGGTATTTGAAGACTGTTATCAAATGCCCCTTCAGTCATCTCTTCTTCAAACTAATTAACACTAGCTCTTTCAGCCTTTCCTTTTAAGTCTTTTCTCCCAGGCCTCTGATAGCTTTGGTTGCCCTGTGGTGGACGGTTTCTAAATTGCCCATGTCCTTCTTGAAGTGCAGGGCCCAAAACTGGACATAGCACTCCTGATGAGGCCTCTCACTAGAGCTAAATAGACTGGAAGAATCACTTTCCTTGATTAGCAAGAGACATTCCTATTAATACACCCCAGGATGCCATTGGCTTTTTCTGCAACAAAAGCACACTGTTGATTCATATTCAACTTATGGCCCACCGTAACCCCCAGGTCCTTCTCTGCTGTGCTGCAACCAGCCAGTTCTTCCACAGTCTGTATTTGTGCATGCAGTGATTCCAACCCAAGTGCAGGACTTTGCACTTGTCCTTGCTGAATCTCATTTGGTTGATTGTGGACCATTTCTCCAATCATAAAATCAATCATAGAATCACAGAAAATTAGGGTTGGAAGTGATCTTAGGAGGTCCTCTAGTTCAATCCCCTGCTCAAAGCAGGACCATCCCCAACTAGATCATCCCAGCCAACCTATTCAGGTCATTCTGGATCCTAGGCTTGCCCTCTGGAGTATCTACAATTCCACCCAACTCGGTGTCATCCACAAATCTGCTAAACCTACATTCGATCCCATCATCCAAATCCTAAGTGAGTTAAAGATCCAAGCAAAAACAAATATAAATTTATTTGAATGTGCATTAATTTGCTACATTGTACAGTAAAAGCTCCGGTAACTAGCATCTTACAAGCCAACATGCTCAATTAACCAGCATGCCAGCTTGTAAGATAAAGTGAAACTGGAAGTGCCCACTGTGGTACTTATGGTGTCTCCAAGCCCCCACAGCCCGGGGCAAAGCAGCCTGTGCTGCCGAGCCCCCACGGCCCAGGGGCATAACAGGATGCGAGGGGATGTGCGGGGACCACCTCCCTGTCTCGCAGGGCCCACAGGGCCCGCAGGAGGGGCAGCGATACTGTGGGAGGGGTGGAGGGACACCCCAGATGCGGCAGGAGAAGCGGCGGCCCGGGCCACACAACTAACTGGCATATTTTGTTATCCGGCATCCCCCATTCCCGGGGGATGCCGGATAACAGAGCTTTTACTGTATATCGAGTTTTAAAAAACACAACAAACTCGCAAAATTGGTCAAAAGATAGTGTTTCATTAGTTCCATAGTATTTATAGTTAAATGTACACTTCTTGTTCACATCATAAAACAAAATTCAGTGCCTCCAATACTTCGCTGTCAGTCATTTGTACACGTGAGTTAATATTACCACACCTGAGTTAAGGTTTTAGTGTCTGCAGGGCTGTGAAATAAAAGAGTGACATTACCAGGAATGGCTAACAGACAGCAAAACTGAAAAAGAAAGGATAGCTTGAATACTGGAACATCAAGACAATTATAAAGGAGAGAGGGGGTCGTTAACACCTGTGGAGTGAAGAGAGCTTAGCAACATTCAGGTAGTTTATAATGAGCCATGAAGTCAAACCGACTCCCTTACTGCTGCCTGAACAGAAATACTCCTGCCGCTGCCAGGCAGTTGGCATTCAAGTATGGGCAAGAATCAAAGAGGTCTTCAACTGCATCACTGCCGCCTCCCCTTGCCCCCCAGAACCACCCCTGGGACTTCTTCCTTGAGTTGGGACATCAATTAAAAAATAATGTGCGAGCAGAAATTACTGATTATCAGATTAAATAGCCATCAATACCTACACTTGTGGACTTCTACAAGCGTGTATGAGTGCCTGCTGGGAGAAAATCAGCACTCTTTCTGCAGGGGAGCGTCCTGAATCCAGCCCTGGAGCAGGATGCCAAGAGATAAATGCAGCCAGTGGGTGTCAGAGCTGCCCAACTAGCTGCCAATGCCCCAAAAACCATTCTGGTTCCAGAAAGTACTTACAAGTTCCAGACTGTACAGTGCACTATTCCTAAGTAGGCTGTGATTTGTGGTACATGGTGCACTCCACCCTCCTCTTCCTGGATTTCAGCACTGGCTTTGAAACTCTTGATTGCTCCTTTTCAGCCTTCTAGCTGCTTTTCCTTAGATTTTTAAAGCATTTTCTCTCTTGGTTCAACCTTTCTATCCATTCTTTTAACATTTCTTTCAACAGCATTTCCTGCTGTCTCATGCATCTAGCATCTGCCCTGGCTTCTGTTATAGCTTAGGTCCCTGTACAGCAGTTGTAGTGGACATACACATTTGCTTATTTTTAGAGGCAAAGATTTTTGTGATATCTTTTATTGGACCAACTGTATCACTGGGAGAGCTGCTGGACAAGCTTTCAGGCATGAGGCATATCTGCCCAACAGCTCTCTCATCTACACAGCTGGTCCAATAGAAGTTATCATGAATAAGCCTTGCCTCTTAACATTTCCTGGACCACCATGGTTACAACAGCTCACCAACTTTCTTTAGTTTATGCTCTCTCTGGTTAAAAATGCTCTTTATGCTGTGGACTAGTTTTGGGAATGAGCGCAGGAAACTAATCTTTTCATAGATGTGATAAAAGACTAAAGATCATCCTTATGTATAAACACTGATTTCTCAGGGCCTTGTGTTTTGGAAGGCTCTTTACCTTGGGTCCTACTTTTTTTTTCTTGTGCATCACAATGGTGTGACATGACATCCCCTATTGTTTCGACTTTGGTAATGGTGGGGAAGCTGATGGGGAAATATAC